GCTCCGCGGACGCGACTGCCGGTCTTGCTCCGCGCGGGCCCGGGGGTCCTAGAGTCCGCCATGTTACGGGCTTTTGTCTGTGTGGCGACGGCCTCCCAGCCAAGTCCTCCGCGTCTGCGCGCCCCCCTCCCAGTCCGAGGTCCTGCCCGCCCCTCCCGCGGTCCTAAAGATCGCCATTTTGCAGGTCTTTGTCCTGCTCTCGGTCCTCTGTCCATTCATTTGTCCATCCCTTCCTTCTTCATTCATTCTGTCTTGCTTCGCTCGCCGAAGCCACGTTATCCTAGGGTTTAGTCCCACATGAGTCAGCATACAGCCCCGCTCTGCGGGGGCTGCCTGTCTGGCGAGGACACCCGCACAAACGCGGTTGCAGAGAGCGAGGAGCGCTGGGTTTCTGCAGCTCTTGTCCCTCCTCAGAGTCTGGTAGGCCCCACCGCCCTGCAAACTCCCATTTGCTTCAGGGGCCCCGTTCGGCTGAAGATATCGAGGCCAAGAGCGCTATGCATCCCTCATCTTTACTGCTTGTTAAATATTCTTGAGGGCACGGAGTATTGGGGAACGGAGTATTGGAAGCATGCAAGAATCTTCCCGTGGGAAAAGGAAAACGAGGGCTCCTGGGCAAAGAGAATTGGATATGGAGGTGGTAAACTCTGTGAATTGTGGATGGAGCTTAGGTTGCTGACCAGTGGGGACACCGCCACAGAAACTGAGGCTGGGATCATTTTTGAGCTAACTAACTGGTTGTTAGGCCTAAGGTATACTTAAACATTCACCCTAACACAATCCCATCAACTCACCAAAAGGCTCAAGGTCTGTTAGGCTTATTTGTTGTCTTGAGGAGATTGGGGAATGTGAGTACCTGTTTTATTTTTTAACCACACCTGCGGCCGGGGAGGGGAAAGCGAGTCCGCATTAATTTAAGAGATGTCACTCCTCTCACAGGCGAGGAGTTACACTGTGTTCCATCACAACAGCCGGCAAAAGGAAGTACTGGGGTGATGCTTGGATCTGATGACCTTGTAAAGATGGGAATTTCGGTTAATAAATAGTTGGTGACTGAATCTCACAAACTCCTACGATGGAGGAATCAGAGGCTGTAGACCTGGTTTTGAATTCCACCTGAAGTTTGTTTTCAGTCACCAAACAGTTTGGGACATAAAGAGCATTTAGAACAAAGGGCCCTGGACCCCGGTGCTGGAGGCAGAAAATTAACAACCAAATAATAAAATGTGTTGGTGCTAATAAAACAATAGTCAAAGGGACAGATGGCAGAAATGTGGCTGACTACCTGGCTTCAACTACTAGCTCAATCTATGACTAATTACTTGGCATTTCTGTGTTGTCTCTTATTTTAAGTACTTGTTTAATTAAATTTTTATTTATCTTGTGTGTGCATATGTGTGGAGGTCAGAGGACAACTTATTGGAGTCTGTACTCTCTTTCCACCATGTGGGTCCTGAGGCTACAACTCAGGTACTAAGGCTTGATAAAACCACCTTCTTACCTACCCAGCCCTCTTCTAGCCCAAGAGGACTGAAGTGCTACTCTTATGACTTTATTTAGGCTTAATTACTGCTGAAAAGGCCTTGCTTCCAAACACAGAATTTTAGAAGAACACAAATGTTCAGCTGTAACAGATTTCTAGGAATTGGGAGATGAGCTTGAATAGTTGGATCAGTGAGCATAAAATGCTAATGATACCCAGTTCATAACAGTGAACCTGCAGGTAGTATTTAATTCAGATGACACCATAAAAAAATGCTATTTGAAAGGAGAATTTAGACAGTAGTTAGCCAGGATAAAGATATCATTATTTAAAAGAAGTCTATGAGGTGGGGTGACATACCTTTAAATCCCAGCAGGCAGTCAGGTGAGTTCCAGGACAGCCAGCCAAGGCTATATAGTGAAACCTTGTGTCAGTGGTACAGTAGTGAAATGCTTGCTTACTAAGCATGCATGAGAGTAAATTCGATTCCAAGCACTGCCAGAAAGAAAGGAAGGTAGGTGATCAAAGCCAAAGTACATGATCCACACCTGTAATCCCAACACTGAGCAGGCTGAGACAGGAAGAATCAGGGCCAGCCTGGGCTACATAGTAAGACCCAGTGCTCCGTCCCCAAAAGGTAGTCAAGAAACCTTTATATTTTTATGTGTATGAGTGTTATGCTTACATGTATGTGTGTGCACCAAGTGTGTGCCTATAACTGGAGTTAGAGGTGGTTGTGAGCTACCATGTGTGTGATGGGAACCAGACCTGGGTCCTCTGGAAGAACAATAATTGAGTAATTGCTCTTACTCCTGTGTCGTTTCTCCAGTGCCCAGAAAAGCCTTCTTAGGTGGAAGGAGATGGCCAAGCTTGAGACCTGAGTTCAGCCTCCTACACCTGTATGGGAACAGAGGAGACTTGACTCCCGAAAGTTGTCCTCTGGCCACCACACATACACCCTTGAGAGTGTACATACAGAGACAGTCAATACATTTTTTTAAAGAAGAAAGAAAGCCTTGATAAAGGAAGTGTCTGGGAGCTAAGACCCAATAGTAACCAAAGAGATAAGACACAAAGATGCTTAGGAGACTTCGAAATAATGGTTCTGACCAAGAGAGCTGCTAGTGTAAACACCCTGAGGTGGGAAGAAATTGAAGAAGTTGAAAATGAGGACAAGAGGCATGAGTGGGTGACACCTAGTGATAGAAACAAGGAATTGAACAGAGCTAAGCAGGAGTGAGATGGATTAGGGATTTGCTGATCATAGAAAAATACTGGTATTTGTCTTGGGAAGTGTCAGGATTTGACTATAGATTTCTAGTGGATAGTAATGAAAAAGTCTAACTTAGGGTTTGAAGTTTGAGTTTTGACTCTGGGCATCTCTGTGCACTTTTTGTCTTGTGAGGATTTAAAGCAGAGTTGTAGTAAAAATGTGTCCCTCCTAGAAGCACTTGAACACCTAGGAGATATGAGTCTGTCTATCTATCTACCTATTTTTCTTTTATTTGTGGTACTGAGGATAGAGCCCAGTGCTTGGCATGTATCAAACAGGTATCCTGGCTGACATATCTGATTCTTAATGATCCACAGAGTTTGTTTAAAGTGCAGATTGTAGGGCTGGAGAGATGGCTTGGTGGATTGAAACACTAGCCATACAAGCCTGACAATCTGAGTTTAAGCCCCCAAAACCCATGCAAAAATCTGGATTTGGTGGCACACATCTGTAATCCAGCACCGCAGACAGGAAAATGTTCAGGAACCTTGCCAGCTAGCTAGTCTGGAGCACACAGGGTAGCAACAGAAACGAGAGACCCCAGTCAACAAAGTGGAGGGAAGAACTGACTCCCAGTTGTTCTTTGTGTGCGTGCGCGCACGCGCGTACACACACACACACAGAGCTAAGAGAGGTGGCACACACCTTTACTCCCAGCACTCAGAAGGCTAAAGTAGGTGTATCTCTGACTTCAAGGACAGCCAGGGATGCAGAGAAACCCTGTCTTGAAGAGAAAGAAAGAAAAAGAAAAAGAAAAGGACTCTGAATCTGTGTGTATGTACAGACAGAAGACAAAGGAAAATGTGAGATCCCCTGGAACCTGGAATGACTGTCTGTTTTGTGAGCTAACATTGGTGTTGGGAACTGAATTCATATCCTAGAACAGTGGTTCTCAGCATTCCCAATGTTTTGACCCTTTAATACAGTTCTTCATGCTGTGGTGACCCCCCCCCCCAACCATAAGATTATTTTCATTGCTATTTTGTAACTGTAATTGTTATGGATTGTATTGTGAATGTCTGTGTTTTCAATGGTCTTAGGCAACCCCTGAAAAGGGTTGTTCCACCCTGAAAGAGGCGAGACCCACGGGTTGAGAACCAGTGCTCTTAACTGTCTAGCAACCCCTCCTGCCTATGACTATTATTTTTAATCTCAAAGAATAAAAATACAGGTTGTAGTGTCCTACATGAACTTCCTTAGAAGATGGTTCTCTTTGTTTGCTTTTTTCCCCTCAAGACAGGGTTTCTCTGTGTAGCCTTGGCTGGCCTGGAACTCGCTCTGTAGATCAGGCTGGCCTCAAACTCACATAGAGCTGCCTGCCTCTG